AGTGTACCACACAGTACTACTGATTAATAGTGTACCACAGAGTACTACTGATTAATACAGTGTATCACAGAGTACTACTGAGTACTACTGAGTAACACAGTGTACCACAGAGTACTACTGAGTAACACAGTGTACCACAGAGTACTATATGAGATGGATATTTTTTCCAGTAGAAGTAAAGCCATATGTTGATGGGTGTGGCCTCCTGAGAGGGGGTGTGGCCTGATTCAAAGTAAAATGTTAAAAGTCACTGATTCACATTTTAAAAAGTCCTTGGACATCTGGTGGCATCTCCATGGCAACAACCTGTTAAAAGTCATGTTAGCTGCTCATTTGGCATGAGGTTTGTTGACAGGAAGTGATGTCACATGTCAATATCCAGGCCCTGCTGTGACAGGAAGTCTTCGAGTGCGCTCAGTCGCTCCACCAGCATCACATCCAGGTCGCTGTCATCTTCCAAGCCGTTGGTGCGGAAGTACCGCCGTGCTGCCGCTCGTTTCCTCAGCGCTGTGGCAACAGGAAGCCCCGCCCCTAAACACAGAAWACTCATAAGTTGTGTTTACATGGTCTGTTTTTGACACACAGCACTAGTCAATCATCAGTAATAAAATGAAAACAGGAAGAAAAAACTGCAGACTACATGTCCCATCACCTTGTGRTCTTTTCCGCTTCCTGGGTTGAGTAAAGTCAGGGAAGAGGAGGAGCCTGCGCCTTTTCTGCTGGCCAATCAGGAGCAGTGATCCATCCTTTTCTCGAGGCTCCTCAAAGATCGTCTCCAAGCTCCTGCAGGACAGAAGCAAAGCATGCTGGGAGATGAGATGTCAGCCAAACAATGGCTGCTGATGGCCGCCGTCTGTGGGCCCCAGTCTACGTTGGACCCAGTCTATGTTGGACACAGTCTACGTTGGACACAGTCTACGTTGGACACAGTCTACGTAAGACACAGTCTACATGGGACACAGTCTACATGGGACACAGTCTACATGGGACACAGTCTACATGGGACACAGTCTACATGGGACACAGTCTACATAGGACACAGTCTACATAGGACACAGTCTACATGGGACACAGTCTACGTAAGACAGTCTACGTGGGACACAGTCTACGTGTGACACAGTCTACGTTGGACACAGTCTATGTTGGACACAGTCTATGTTGGACACAGTCTACGTTGGACCCAGTCTACGTAAGACAGTCTACGTGGGACACAGTCTACGTGTGACACAGTCTACGTTGGACNACAGTCTACGTGGGACACAGTCTACGTGTGACACAGTCTACGTTGGACCCAGTCTATGTTGGACACAGTCTACGTGGGACCCAGTCTACGTGGGACCCAGTCTACGTCGGACCCAGTCTACATCAGACCCAGTCTACGTGGGACCCAGTCTACGTCGGACCCAGTCTACATCAGACCCAGTCTACGTGGGACCCAGTCTACGTCGGACCCAGTCTATGTCAGACCCAGTCTACGTGGGACCCAGTCTACGTCAGACCCAGTCTACGTGGGACACAGTCTACGTGGGACACAGTCTACGTCAGACCCAGTCTACGTGGGACACAGTCTACGTCAGACCCAGTCTACGTGGGACACAGTCTACGTCAGACCCAGTCTGCGTGGGACACAGTCTACGTGGGACACAGTCTATGTCAGACCCAGTCTACGTGGGACACATTCTACGTCAGACCCAGTCTACGTGGGACACAGTATGTCAGACCCTGTCTACGTGGGACACAGTCTACGTGGGACACAGTCTATGTCAGACCCAGTCTACGTGGGACCCAGTCTATGTC